ACACACACTCACACATACACAGCCACACACACTCACACATACACACACATTCACACACAGCCACACACACATTCACATACACACACTCACACATACATACATTCACACACAGCCACACACAGAGCTCTGAGAAGTCAGAAAGCAGATAACAGCAATGCTCCCAGGCAGATCTCTTTGCCATGTGGCAGCCCCCTGTGCATTTCTGCTGCTATGGTTTTCTCCACAGGACTCTGGGATCCGCCGTCACCCTCAGCCATGGGACCTTCTGCTGTGGTGTTACTGTTCACTTCAGAAGGAGTGCGAGGAGAAAACGCGGCTTCGACATCCTCACTCCGCTTCTTCTTACCCTAGATACCTCTCATTCCCCAAGGCATGTGTGAGGTCCTAAGTCCCTTTCTTTCTAAAATATATTGAATTTTCTTACTCTTGTCAAATACTTAGAGCCAGGCAAGTGCAAAATATGAAAAACAGCTCAAAATAATCTTCCCTGTTAGAAGTCAACATGGTGTTGCCCTAGGGTGGTTTCAGACCCCAGCAACGATCCATTTTTTCTTTGTGAATGCTGGTTATTGAGTACAATTTGTTTGCGTAACTGTGCCTTGTTGTGCTCTTAAGATGTGTGTCTCTTCTGTGTGTCAATAAGAAGTTGACTGAAAATATTTAAGGCTTAAGTAACTGAACTCTGGGGTATATGTTTGGCTTAGTGGTTGCAATGCCTGCATCTTAATTCAAATGCCTGGATTTGGCTCCAGGCTCTGGTTCCCATTTCCAGATCCCTGCTGGCCTGAATCCTGGGAGGCAGTAGATGGTGGTTTGGGTAGCTGGGTCCCTGCCATCCACATGGGAGACCCAGAGTGAATTTCCAGCTCCTAGTTTCAGCCAGGCTTGGCCCTGGCCACTGGGGGCATTTGGGGAGTGAACCAGCAGATAGGAGCTCCCTCTGCCTTTGTGTATCTCCCTGTAAAAAACAAAGAACTCTTAAATAAAGGAGTCATTTTACATAATATGAGGTTTTCCTACATTCCTCTCATGTTGAACATGGAACCTAGTGATGCTACAGTATAGGAATTTAATATCAATGACCAGAAGCAGAGGCAAACACCAGCCTCTGCTTAGCCTAATGTCTAACTATGGAGTCTAAGAACCGAGACAGCCTGAACAGGACCAAGCTAGCCCCAGAGATGGACATCTCCAAGAAACAGTGGGTCGAATTGAATGATTTCTGCCAAAATGATAGCAACGTTAAAAGTAATTTATAGGAGTCAACTCTTAGCGCCATGGAATAAGGAGTGACTATACAATAAGGGAGAACCACAGACTGTCACACTGTGCCCTCCTGCTGTGTGGCTGGCTCAAAACCCAGATGGTTTCCAAGGCTGTAGATGGAGGAAGCCATGGTCAACAACAGGAGACAAATTATTCATTGCATACTGCTTTGGGATCTTATTTTTGCTATCTGTAACATAAGAATAATGTTCCTCAGAGAGACGTTCTGATAAATACTTCAGAAATATGCAATGCATTTTGAGACAATCAGGGTCATTTGGACACGGACTATGCATTACACAGCAGTCCCAAGGAATGCTAATTTTCTGCAGCTGTGATCATAGCAGGGTGGTTATGTGTGGAGACTGTCCCTATTCATATGAGATGCACATTTAAGTTTTTATGGATGAATTTCAAAATATCAGCAATTTATTTTCAAAAACAAACGTAGGGGCAGTGCTGAGCCCAGCAGTTCAAACACTGTGTTAAGATGCCTGTGTTCTGCAGTGCCTGGGGCTGAGTCCCACCTCCAGCTCCTGATTCCAGCTTGCTGCTAATGCAGACCCTGGGAGGCAGCAGTGATGGCCCAAGTCGCTGGGTCCCTGCCCCCAACGTGGGGGACTTGGATTGAGTTCCTGGCTCCTACCTTAGGATCCCCCCAGCCACTGTGGGCATTTGAGGAGTGAACCAGCAGGATGGGAGCTAGCGCGCACTCTCTCTCTGCCTCTCAAATAAATAAATAAAAAGTAAATAAACAAACATGCATGCATACACACAGGCACAATACAGTAAAAACTGAGGAGTAGCTTGACCAGCACCTCAACTCCATGGAAGCCAAAGAAGTCACCAAGTACTTCCGGTAAGAGAGGTATAAAGGGAGAGGAGACAAATGAGAAGGGTGAGCGGAAGGTCTGGGTAACCTCTGTCCCCCCCCAGCTCATGCAGCCAGACTACTGAACCCAGAAGATGGAAGCTTCTTCCCTAAAGAGGACAAAACAGTAGTTCGCTAAGCAGGATCACTAAGTAGAGGGTAACCTTACACTAAGTGCCCTTTTTAAAAAGTTTTACTGATTTATTTTACTTAAAAGGCAAAGAGAGACAGAGGCAGACAGACAGAGACAGAGAACTTCCATCCATTGGTTTCCCTGGCAAATGCCCATAACAGCCAGGTCGAAGCCAGGAGCCAGGAACTCAGTCTGGGTCTTCCACATGGGTGACAGGGACCCAAGTATTTGAGATACCACCTGCCACCTCCAAGGGTGCATATTAGCAAGAAACTGGAATCGGAAGTTAGTAGGAACCTAGGCCTTCCAATATAGGATGCAGGCATCCCAAGCTGCATCTTAACCACTGTGTCAAATGCCTGCCCCACATTCAGCACCTTGATTGTTGAGGGTCAGGGTACTTGCACACACAGATATTCATATTGAATAATAGGCATTCCTGCCTTCTTCCCCCACCTGAAAGCTGGTCAACCAGCCTTTCTCCTCCAGGAAAGAGTTTGAAAGATCCTTCTTCTATGGGGCTCTGCCTAGTCCTAAAGATGATGCCACCGGCAGTGTCACCAACAACACAGTCCAGCCAGATCCTCCAACCACAGGTGTGCAAAGGCATAACCTACACACTTACCAACGCCACCCACATGCTCCCACTCTTAGCAGCAGCCAGAGAAGCAGTGTAAGGCATCAGAAGCAAGCCTCCAGTGTGAAAAACTGACCAAAGCCAACATAAACATGCAAGAGACTACAAAGGAGGAGAAAACTGCATTTAAAAAAAAAAAGCAAAACGATTACTAATATTCTCAGGTCAGAGGCTGCAAACATGAAACAAAAATCATCATTTATAGAGGAAAAAGCAGCTTTTAGAAATTAAAAATACAATAGTAGAAATGAAAGAACTCGATAAAGGAATTAGAATGTAAAGTCTCTTCCAAAAAAGACCCAAGAGAGAAAACAAGAAAAGTGAAGCATGGTTCAGGAGATCCTACATCTGAAGGGTACGTTCCAGAAAGAGTAAACATACCAAAAAAAATGAAGAAGACATCATCAAAATAATCCAAGGATAACTTCCAGAGCTGGAGGGCATGAGATTCCACACTGAAAGGGCACGTCTATGGCAGGCGCTGGGGCGCAGGGGATTAAGCCGCCACTTGCAATGCTGGCACCCCATACCGGAGGACCTGTTTGAGTCTTGGCTGCTCTGCTTCCAGTCCAGCTCCCTGTTAATGCACCTGGGAAGGCAGCAGCAGATGTCCCAAGTGTTTAGGCCCCTGTCACTGGCATGAGACCTGGATGGAGTTCAGACTCCTGACTTCAGCCTGTACCAGCCTTGTCCAGCCATTGCAGCCACTGGGGAAGTGAACCAACAGATGGAAGATCTCTCTCTCTCTCTCTCTCTCTCTCTCTAATTCTGCATTTCACTAAATAATAAATCTTTTTTACAAATAAAAAAGAAAGGGCCTTCAAGCGACCAGCATAATAGATGAAAATATAATCACAGAAAGGCTCATTATGAAATTCCAGAGCACTGGAGACAAAGAAACACATTCTACAAACCTCCAGAGAGTAACACACAAGAACCAAGGTCTTAAATAATTCATCCTTGTGCACCCTTTCTCAAGAAACTGTATGTGGGAATACCCCATGAACACCAGAATAAATCAATAAAGAAAAGAACCTGAGATACAGGAAATAGGAAAAAACAAAAACAGCACAAGAAGGAGGAGCCGCCTGCTCAAGATGATGGTGAGGGATGCCCGGGAGCTGTGCACCAGTGCCCAGGGCAGCAGGTGGACAAGACGTGTGCGCAGTCCCCGGAGGTGAACTCACTGAACACTGCCTGTGTCTGAACACACAAGGGAGATTTAGATCCCTGGCAAAGAGCTTGTGGCTGAAATAGTAGTAACACAAAGCCCCCCATCTCCAGAAAAAAAGTAAGGCAATTATTAACGCCAGGGAAAACAAAAGATGGTACAGGGATGAAGAAATAATCGTCATTAATCAACACTAATAAGGATCCGCTATGAACAGGACTGACATAATCACACTGAAAGCAGATCTGACAAAAATTACGCTGTATCTGTTTTGGGAGCAGTAGCGGGGACAGAAAGGGCGAATGTGTTGTGGTAGAGGTGATGGGACAGATAAGAGAAATCTTCATCTTCTATAGCAGGAAATCATTAGAGAATTTCTCAATCTCCTGCCGGACAGTAGCAACCCTGTGTGGCATTTGCCAAAGTGTGGATGTGACGACCAAAACAGTAAACAGAAAGTCACAGGGGAAGGAACAATGGAAAATAAGGAGACAGGAGACCACTGGGCTTTGTTGTTGTTTTTTAACAAATCTTTGAATAAATATATATAATATTATATGTAATGCTATACTTATGCTTAATCATAATATATATAGTTATATATATTATTTTATAATAAATTATGTATAAACATGTATATATAACTGATAAAAAATAATCATATATAACTACTTAGAAAGCAAAGATATCATTAAATATTCTGTTTACAAGTTACTTTCTATGTTTGAAATTTATTATCGAACTATAGGTAAATTATAGAAGTGTTCCATTAACCAGTACATTTAGGTCCATATGATAATTTTCTTAGTACATGCTAGTGCTGATTCCAAGTATTTTTGGTCAATTTAGTTTTGCAGCACTGGTGGTAATATAAAGTACTCACCAGCTCTAGCGGGCTGAGACGTGTGCCAGAGATAGGCCTGGAATCAGATGACTCAAAGCTGGACGCATGGAGGCTAGCATGAGAGATGGTGCAGAGTATTAGTCTGGGGAGAACTGTCCCTTTTATTTCCACTATAAGTTAGTTAACTCCAGCTAGAAAGCAAGTAAAAGTATCTGATGCATATGACTTGAGGAAAAAGTACATTAAAAATGTTATAGTACTTAAAACACTCTATTCACAAGTCTTTTCACCACTTTCAGGAAGATTAGAGTATTGAATAATGAAAAGAAGAAATATATAAAGAGATTATTTTAAAACTTTGTTCATATCACTTTATAAAGCTGATATAACACCCATTATTAGCCATTTTTCTCCAAAGTAACTTTCTGAACCCAAGGTCTGTAATTACCTTTAGGAAACTTGAAGATCAGTCAAAAACCTTGAACATCAGTCCAAAAAAAGTGGAAAAAAAAAAACTACTGTGAAAATCAACTAATGTAATCTATCAAACTAACAGGCAATAGAAGAAAAAAATCACACGATCATTTTAATAGATGGCAGAAAAAGCTTTTGACAAAATCCTATGCTCATTCATGATAAAACCCTAAGCAAAGCAGGAACAGAAGAAAACTTCTTCAGTTTGCTAAGGAATAACTACAAAGTCCGGATCTGACCCCAGACTCCAGGGTAATGCCCTGAAGCCTTCTTGCAGTCCTCTCACCACTGCTTTTCACCATCACACTGCAGATCCTCGCTAACGCAGTGAGACAAGAGAGGGAAACGAAACACACACACATGGGGAAGGAAGACATAAAACTTGTCCACAGATGACATCTATGCAGAAAACACTAAAAAAACTGACCAAAAAAAGTCTTGGGATTAATAAATAAATTTAGCAGAGTTGCAGAATACAAGGTTAATGCAAAAAATTGCTTTCCTATATACCAGCGATGAACAAATGGAAACTGACATGAAAATACATAACATTTATATTAGTGCCCCCAAAATTAAATACTCAGGTTTAATGCTAGCAAGAATATATGTAAGATCTGTTTGAAGAAAACAACAAAAAGACTCAATGAAAGTAACCATGGGCAGGAGGACTAAACATTGTCAAGATGTCAGTTCTTCTTAAACCGATCTACTTGTTTCATGTAATCTCAATCAAAACCCCAGTAAGCAAGTGTAGATTTCAACAAACTGGTTCTGAAGTTAGTACAGAGGGGCAAACAACCCAGTAGAGTCAACACAACATTCAAAGAGAGGAAAAAGATGGAGGACTGGCACTTGAAGACATCGTATAAAGCTACAGTGATCAAGATGGTGCAGTACTGATGTAAGAACACCCAGATCAATGGAACGGAATAGAGTCCAGAAATTTACTCTATAGGCACAGTCAACTGAACTTTGACAGAGCAGCAAAAGCAATACGGATCTTCCCTAACTGAACGACAGAGTGACGTCCCAACAGATCCGTCATCAGGTGAAGACATGGTGCATTCAATACGTCTAACCTACTGAACAGCCTAGCTCAGCAGCAGAGCACAACAGAGCACCACTCGGTTGGCACCCTCGAGACCGTGTGGCTGCCTGAAAGCTGTGGGTCCCTGCGGTGTCCAGCAGCACAGAAGAGCAGCCTGCCACACACTGCCGGCCCAAAAAGGAAGGAAGACCTTTCTCTCTGTCTCTCTCTCTCTCTCACTGTCTAACTCTGCCTGTCAAAAATAAAAAATAAATAAATAAATAAAGATAGCCTTTCCAACTAACAAGGCAAGAAAACTGGACATGTATGTAAAAAAGAAAAAAAATCCGGATGCAGACTTTACAACCTTCACAAAATTACCGCAAAATGGATCACAGACCAAAACGTAAAGTGTGAATCTACGAAATTCCTAGAATACAACACAGGAGAAAGTCCAGATGACTTTGGGTGTGGTGATGACTTTCTATGTACAGCACCAAAGGCATGAGCCACATGAGAATGATGTGGTAATCTAGACATACTTCATTAAGATTACAATTAAAAATGTTCTGCTTTGCAAAAGGCTTTACCAAAAGAAGAAGAAGAAAAGCTACCAACTGGGAGAAAATATTTGCATAAGATATGTAAGATAAAGCATTCTTATACAAAACACATAAAGAGTTCTTACAATTTGATAAGAAAACAATTAATTAAAAATGGATTGGGGCCAGCACTGTGGCTTAGCGGGTAAAGCCACCGCCTGCAGTGCCAGCATCCCATATGGGCGTCAGTTCAAGTCCAGGCTGCTCTGCTTCCAATCCAGCTCTCTGCTGTGGCCTGGGAAAGCAGTAGAAGATGGCCCAAGTCCTTGGGCCCCTGCACCCATGTGGGAGACACAGAAGAAACTCCTGGTTCCTAGCTTCGGATCGGCACAGCTCCGGCTGTTGTGGCCAACTGGGGAGTGAACCAGTGGACAGAAGACCTCTCTCTCTTTCTGCCTCTCCTTCTCTCTCTGTGTAACTCTTTCAAATAAATAAATAAATAAATCTTTTTTAATAAATGAATTAAAAAGTGGGTCACAGACCTTATCAGACATCTGAGCAGAAAAGACATACAGACGGATAGGAAACATATGAAAAGGAGTTCCATACTGTAAGTCATTCGGAAAATGTAAATTTTAAAATGAGATACCACTACATACCTATCAGAATGACCAAAAGCCAGAACACCAACACCACCAAACGGTGGTGGTGATGTGGAGGGAGAGAATCTCTCACTTATTGCCAGTGGGGATCCAAGATGGTATAGGCACTTTGGAGGGCAGTTTGCTGTCAGTTTCTTACAAAACTAAGCATACTGTTACCGCATGACCCAGCAGCTGTGCTCCTTGGTATTCACCTATAGGAGCTGAAAACCTACTTCACACAAAAACTTGCACGTGGATAAGTGCAGCCGCATCGTTTGTAACTGCCAAAACTTGAAAGCAAGGGAGATGTGAATGAATAAATTGTGCTAAACCCAGACAACGGAGTATTATTTAGTACTAAAAAATTAGTTATCAAGCCATGAAAAACCATAGGGGAAACTTAAATGCATATTACTGAGTGAAAGAAGCCAAACTGAAAAGGCAGTAAAAAGTGGTTGATGGGGTGGGATAACTAGCAGAGGATTTTGAGGGCAGTGAAACTACACTGCATTACACCTCAACAGTGGACAGTGCAACACACTGTACACACCTCTTGTCGTTATAGAGCTGTCCAAACGCAAGGCCTGCACAACGCCCAGTGGACCCGAAGGAGAACCTGAACTTTGAGTGATAATGACGTATCAGTACAGGTTCATCAGCTGTGACAACCGGACCACTCCGGTGGGGGATGTCGACAAGGGGGTGGATTCTGCATGTGTCGGGGTGGGGAGTAATTGTACCATAACTTTCCATAAATTTTGCTGTGAACCTAAACCTGCTCTCCGAAGTAAAGCCTGTTAGTAACAACAACTGAAACACACCAGGGCGAGCCTTTGGCTTAGCAGTTAAGCCAGGGTTAAGATGCCTACATGACACACTGGAATTCCAGGGTTCAGGGTCCACCTCCCCTCTGCTAATGCAGACCCCGGGAGGCAGTAGGACAGGTAATGAGGCTCCTGCCAGGCAATGGAAACTGCCACTGTGTTCTTAGATCCTAGCTTTAGCCCTGGCTCGGTTCTGGTTGTTATGGGCCTTTGGGGACTGAATGAGCAGATGAGAATTCCCTTTCTTATCTGTATGTCTCTGTCTCTGTGTGTCTCTTTCTGTCTCTCAAACATATTAAAAACAAACAAACAGCTATCCATAACCAGCATTAAGGGAGGCTGTTATTGGCACTTAAATCTCTGAGCACACATCTAGGCGAAATGTCCTCAGACCTGAAGGTGGAAGGAGGCCTGTTTTCTGGCGTTCTTGAAGACCCCACTCCAAACAGCTTTCTCTGCTCTTGCTGCGGGGTAAACGGTCTTTGAGTTTTAACCATCCGTAGTGCATTTCGCGCTTCGCTTATGATCTCCGCACTGGTCTTCTGTTTGGGTGCTGAAGGTCTATAAAATGGATCCAGTTTTTCCAACTTGTTCTCATGTGGGGACAGCATCTTCTCCTTCAGAGAAAAATGTTCTCCAGGTAGACAGCGCACCCTGCGAATCAAGATACGGTACAAAAACATCACCTATTTGTATCCAGCACTTTAAGAGGACTGCTTAACCCTGTCCACACAGTCCTCCTCAGCAAGCTTGGAAGACACTCAGGGACAGGTGTTCCTTACAAATCCACCAGGCAGTTAGAAGGTCAGGGCGGGAGAGATGTGCAGGGAAGAAACCAAGACCAAAGCTGAACTTGGGGAGGAAGACAGATCAGGAAAGAAGACAGAACAAGAACTGGGAATCACCTTAGATCTCCGACCTCTAAGATTATGCTGGGGGTTCTGTTAAAATTTTGTGTCTAAGGTCTCCTCCACTTCCCCACTGCCTTCCACACAAAATGTTCCTGTAAGGTTAAATTTTAGACAGCTGGGGCCTATTTCCAACCTACATCTGCTTTACAACAAACTTAACTTAGAGAATGGTCCAGCCTCATATTTGCCTGATATATCTGAATCCACTGAATCAAATCACCTTTAGTTTGAAATAGTGCCCCGGGGGTGGGGGGGGTGGGGTGCTGACCATAACGGGTAAAGCCGCCACCTGCAGTGCCAGCATCCCATATGGGTGCTGGTTCAAGTCCTGGCTGCTCCACTTCCCATCCAGCTCTCTGCCTGGGAAAGCAGTAGAAGATGGCCCAAGTCCTTGGGCTCCTGCACCCATGTGGGAGATCCAGAAGAAGCTCCTGGCTTTGGATCTGCACAGTTCCCACCATTGTGGCCATCTGGGGAGTGAACCAGCAGACGGAAGATCCCCCCTCCCCCCACCTCTCTGTAACTCTGCCTTTCAAATAAATATATAAATCTTTAAAAAAAATTTATTAAAAAAAAGTGTCCTGAATGAAAACCAATATGTCCAATATCAGCATCAAATGGTCCCTCCCCTGTGCATTTTCCTCAGTTAGAGGAAATGTACGAGGGCCTTGAGAACACAGATCCCCCTCAAATACTAGTATGTCCAACGAATACAATATGAACTTTAAAACTGGGCAGACTTTTAGTTCTAATCAGAGTAGGGTAATAGGCTTTTATGTCTTTAAAAAAATCTCTCACCCCATTAAAAAAAATGTGATTATCTCTAGAGTGACAGAGGCCCATAAATTACTTACAAATATCAGCTACTCAATTTTAGAACAACTTCTGCCAAAAAAAAAAAGTGATATAGGCCCAAGGAAACTGAAAAACCCCATTTCTATAAGTAGAATCAACAGGCGAGTTCTCAGACAAACCAAGATTTGCCCTGTTATGATGCAATGCATTAAACTGTTACACAACCACAGACAACAAGAACATCTGTTTAGTTCCACCCAGGCCCCACCCGAAGAGCTTCTGGGGAACAGCATAAGATGAAAACTACAAACAATATGTCATTCTTCTCACATGCAAAGGCCAAGTGTTGAGTTAAACAGAAAAGCCATTGGATACACAATACTATTTTAGGAATTTCTGATACAGAATTTTGAATTTAAGCAAGACTAGAATTATATACATTAATACTTAATGACTACAAACTATGGCAGTCATGTTTCACTCCTAATACTTTTTATATGATTGGCTATATTTAACAATATTCAGTGCTAATTTTTTTTAGGGACTGGCATTGTGGTGCAGCAGGTTAAGCTGCTTCTTACAATGCCAGCATCTCAGACTGGACTGCTGGCTGGAGTCCTGGCTGCTCCACTTCTGATCCAGCTCCCTGCTAATGCACCTGGGAAAGCAGCAAATGATGGCCCAAGTGCTTGGGCCCCTTCCACCCACATGGGAGAACCAGATAGAAATCCTGGCTCTTGGCTTCAGCCTGGCCCAGCCCAAGCCACTGCAGCCATTCTGAGAGTGAACAAGCAGATGGAAGATTCTCTCTCTCTCTCTCTCTCTCTCTCTGTCACTCTGCTTTTCAAATAAATAAAAATACATCTTTAAAATTACTTTTTAAAAAATGTATGAGGGGACTTCACAGAGAAATCAAACTAAAAGAAAAAGTATATAAGCTTTATTTTTTACCATAAGCTCCATCAAGTTCAAGACACCTTTGTAAGTGATAGTGTGAACCACTGGGCCCATTCCTCAGGTAGCCAGGTCAGTGTAACCAGGTCATGCAGTGGTTTTCACATGATTAACTGACGAAAAATGGGTACCCTCTGAAGATTGTTTTTTTAAGATCAGGAAACAAAAAAGAAATCAGAAAGGGCCAAAGGAAGACTAAAATGGTAGATGCCTAATGATTTCTGACCAAAACCCAGAAAAGCCCCCTTGCTGATGAGAGTGATGAGCAGAAAGCATTGTCATGGTGGGGAAGGACTCTCTAATGAAGCTTTCCTGGGTGTTTTTCTGCTGAAACTTCTGCTCACTTTCTCAGAACCTTCTCTATTCAGCGGAGTTGTCATTCCTTGACCCTCCAGAAAACCAACAAGAAAACGCCTTGAGCATCTCAAACAAGTGTCTGCTGTGACCTTGGCTCTCAGTGGACCACTTCACCTCCTGGTAGCCACTGCTTTGACCATGCTTTGTCTTCAGGATCATACTGGTAAAGCCAGGTTTCACCTCCTGTTGCAATTCTTCCAAGGAATGTTCCAGAACTTTGCTCTCACTTGAAGACTTCTATCATACTCTCTGCTCTTGTCTGCAGCTGACCTGGGCTTTCGTACACTTTGAGCAGAAACACTGCTCCACTTCCACTTTTTGGTCAGAACTGTGCAAGCTGAACCGACTGAGATGTTTATGGTGTTGGCTGTTGTTCTACTGTTAATTGTCAGTCTTCTTCAATTAGGATATGAACAAGATCAAATATTTTTTTCTGGCAAATTGGTGTGGATGGCCTATTGCTATTGGCATCATCTTCAACACTGTCCCTTCCCTTCTTGAAATTACCCACTTGTAAACAGCAGATTTGTCGGGGGAACTGTCCCCCGCTAAACTTTTTGTAATGCATCAGTGATTATAGCATTCTTCTCAAACTTCTCTATCAATAGGATGTTTGTTTTTGCTTCAAATTTAGCAGAATTCATGTTGCTTTGATAGGGGACTTTTTTCAAGCTGATGTCTTATGCTTCTTAGTGCCTCAAACTAGATCCTATTCAGACACATTATAACAAGTTAGTATGAGTACATTTTGGTATAAAAAGTTTTTGGAATGCATTCAGTTTTTCCATAATATGAATTTTCTATGAACTTTCTGTATATACACACACATATATGGTATGCCTATATGTGTATGTATATAGGTATACTATTTGTGGATATATAACATAAATAAAGTCTTACAACATCTATTATTTTTGGATATATAACATTGTCGCTCCCCCTCTTCGTGGGGGAACGACACTGAACCCTGCGCTGTTCTTTCGTCTGCTCGGCCCTCCCCGGGTTTGCTGCTGGTTCTTCCCGGGTTGGCTACTATCCCTTCCACCTCCGTGGAAGGGCAGTTCCCCCTGGCCACATTCCCCACTTCCGCAGGGGAGCGGCACACCGCCGGCCGGCTCTTCTCGGGGGCTGCACAGGTTCCCTTAGATGTTCCCCATAGATGTTCCTGGTGCATGCCGTCTCTCTCCTCCTTTATAGTCCTCCTCCGCCAATCCTAACTCGGCTGCCCACATGCCGAGTACGCTGCTCTCCTCCAATCAGGAGCAAGTCCTACAGTTTATTAGTTGAACTGGAGGCAGCTGTGCGGAAGCTGTTTACTTCTCTCCCAGCGCCATATTGTGGGAGAGCAGATGCATAGAATAAGTCTTAATTCCAGTAACAGTCTAGTCCGGTTTGCTCCCCACATAACATAAATACAGTCTTACAACATCTATTATTTTTGGATATATAACATAAATACAGTCTTACAACATCTAACTTAAGTGGCCATGACAAGTTTTTTTTCTTTATAAAGATTTGTTTATTTATTTGAAAGTCAGAATTGCAGAGAGAGAGACATAGTGAGACAGATCTTCCATCCATTGGTTCACTCTGCAGATGGCCACAATGGCCAGGGGTGGGCCAGGCCAAAGCCAGGAGTCAGAAGCTTCATCCAGTTCTCTCATGTGGGTTGCAGGGGCTCAAACACTTGGGCCATCTCCCACTGCTTTTCCCAAGCTATTAGCAGGGAGGTGGATCAGAAGTAGAGCAGCTGGGAAATGAACTGGTGCCCATATGTGATGCCAGCATTGCAGACAGAGGCTTTACCCGCTGCACCACCACGCAAGGCCCTGTTGGCTTGTTTTTAAAAGGCCCATTACAGTAAGAAATGATGCCTCTTAGTGAGAAGAGGTTCCCATACACGAACGAGCTTCAGGACTGCCACCCCCTTGACTTCATATGGCACTAATCAGTCTAGCGACATCCAAAGGCAGTTGGTCAAACTAATAAAATTGGGAGAGAGTGCTCTGGGGAGTAATAATGCATTGCTATTCCTGGCCCAAGGTTCTCTCTGGCTATCTTTTAGTTTGCATTGAAAACTATCCTTGTTCTCAGAGTAATAAAGCAGGAACAGTTACTCAGGTCAAATTCCAAAAGTTTTGTAAATTATTTTGGCATACAGAATTTAGACTAACTGAATGTTGATAGAAAAAAACATAGAAAATGAGCTAACAGACCTTTTTTTGTTATTAATTTCTGCCACCAATTCTAGTACAGTTTTTTCTATCCTTCTTCCTCTCCCCTCCCCACCCAAATCTCACTTTAACAGATGAGAAACTGTGGGGCCTGCACTTTGGTGCAGCAGGTTAACGTCCTGGCCTGAGGCACGGGCATCCCATGTGGGCACTGGTTCTAGTCCCAGCTGCTCTCCTTCCGATCCAGCTCTCTGCTGTGGCCTGAGAAAGCAGTAGAGGATGGCCCAATTCCTTGGGCCACTGCACCTGTGTGAGGGACCTAGAGGAAGCTCCTGGCTCCTGGCTCCTGGCTTCGGAGCAGTGCAGCTCCAGCCGTTGCGGCCAGCTGGGGAGTGAACTATCGGATGAAAGACCTCTCCCTCTCTCTCTCTCTCTCTCTCTCTCTGCCTCTCCTCTCTCAGTGTAGCTCTGAATTTCAAATAAATAAATAAATCTTTAAAAAAAAAAACAGATGAGAAACTGGAACAATAATATAAGATTTACTCAGTTAATCTAGTGATGTCATATTAATACATTATTAACTAACTCAAACATGGAAATATTTAATAATTCAAGCAAACCAGGTTAGAAGTGGGGCTTTGGGGAATTTTTTTTTCTTTTTGGTGAACAGAAAGCGGGAATCAGAATACTTAAGGCTGTATCCACCTCAAACATTGTTGTAGGGATTAATTGAGATAATGTGGCAAGAGGTCTTAGCAGGGTGCTTGGTATTAAAGTCAGTGTGTAGCATAGTGGTCCAGAGCTGGGACTTGTACCAAACACTAAAATATGGAATATGGGCATCCCAAGCAGTGCCTTACCCACTGCACCAAATGCCCTGAGTAAGAGTATTGATCAACTGTTTCTATGTGCAAAATCTTTGGGAACATGGAGGAACACGATACTGTCCTCACACCCAGCAAAAAGGACCACTATGCTACACACTGACTTTAATACCTGACGCTACACACTGACTTTAATACCAAGCACCCTGCTAAGGCCTCTTGCCACATTATCTCAATTAATCCCCACAACAGTGTTTGAGGTGGATACAGCCTTAAGTATTATTAGACAAACAAAACAAAACAAAACGCAAAGACAGATGCCTAGAAATGATATTCAACCAGACCAGTTATGCCAGGGTACTGAGAAGCCCTGGGCCTGCAACTCTTCACCCACCAGTATGGACACAAATCAATATTTCACAGCAGGAGCAGCCTTCCTGGTATGTACCAGCTGAGTACCGGCATTTCTTATACCCAAGTGATTTTAATACAAGGAAGACATTAATGATGGCAATTTAAAGAGCAGAAGTGCATTGCCATGTGATTACGAAGTAGGAAGAGATTTCTGATTAGTACAGGGCATCTGGGGGAGATCCTGGAAGGGGCAGCTCTTGGGCTTGGGTCTGAAAAACTGGGCTGAGTGTGAACAAATAGCATGGCTGGCACTGAGGACGGCATAGAGAAGGATGTTCCAGCAAAGTCAACGGCTGAGCTGGGGCAGAGCATCATGAACATATGGGGCGGGACCAGCATTGTGGCGCAGCGGGATAAGCTTCTGCCTATGATGCAGGCATCATGTGGGCGCTGGTTAAACCCCAGTTGCTCCACTTCTGATCCAGCTCCCTACTAATGTGCCTGGGAAAACAGCAGCAGATGGCCTAAATCCTTGAGCCCCGGCACCAATGTGGGAGACCCAGAAGAAGTTCCTGGTCATCAGCCTGGCCCAGCTCTGGCTGTTGTGGCCATCTGGGGAGTGAACCAGCGGATGGAAGACCTCTCTCTCTTCCCTCTGTAACTGCCTTTCAGATAAATAAATAAATCTTTAAAAAAAAAATAAAGAACATATTGGGTATGTATGGATAGAGATTGGATCTGGACCAATTAAACTCAATGACAGGACAAGAAGTTAAATAAAAATTGACAAATTAAAAATTTCTTTTAAAAATTACTTCTGGGTAACTTTAAGAAAAGTAATTTTTGTTGTTGTTGTTGTTGTTGTTTTTTACTTATTTGAAAGGCAGAGTGACAGAGAAAATGAGAGAGAGAGAAATCTTTCATCTGCTGGTTTACTCCCCAAATGCCCTCAATGGCCAGGGTTGAACCAGGCTGAAGCCGGGAGCCTGTCACTCCATCTGGATCTCCCATGTGAGGGCAGGGGCCCAAGCACCTGAGCCATCATCTGCTGCTCCCCACAATACATTATTAGGAAGTTGGATTGGAAGCAGGGTAGCCAGGGCACAAACTAGGCATTCTGACAGGGCCAAGGGAGTCCCAAGCAGCTGCTTAATCCCCTGTGCCACAAAGCCTTTCCCTACCTGCCCCCAACCCACCAGATTTTAAGGCCTGGTGTGATCTAGTGAGGGAGGCCAGAAGGAGCGGTCAGGTGGCTCCTGGGTAATCACCCCCCTCACTCCTGGAGGTCACTTCCCAGAAGCTTCGCCCACTCTCCTTGCTTGGGTCAAGTGCAGCTCTTCCAGACGCCAGGAGGGTTCCAGCTGGCCTGTGTCCCTAAGCCCTCCACCGTGCAGCTGACCTCGCCCTACCAGACTCAGAGCCCCCTCCCCCAGTACCCCCTTCCCTACCACAGCTGAAGGCCAACACTTGGCGCCAAGAATTTCCAGACGGAGCCTGCATGGCTTCTTGAATCGAAGGCATATGTCACAGTGGATTATGAGAGTGCACGGAACTTGATCTCACACGGCATCTGACTCACGACGCCATGGGGTGAGCTGAGTCCAGATGCCTCCCTCCCCCCTGCCCTGTTGGCTTCCTTCACTTTATCTCTGATTGCCTGGTGTGGGTGAGGGCTGGGCGGACGTTGTGGTCAGGAATCAAGCATGGAAAGCCTGAGACATGGGAGTGAAGGTGACACACGTAGGGGCAAGACGTGGCACGAGGACGAGTGAGGGGCACAGAGAGTGACAACTCACAGGGTTTCAGGCTGAGAAGACAGGAGGGGGCCAGAGGCAACACCGGGCGGGCAAAGCAAGGGATGATCGGAGGGCAGGGGCAGCTTCCCAAAGACCAGAGGAGAGGAGGCTTGGAAGGGAAAGAAGGAAACTCGAGTTCTGTCTTGCAGCACGCTGCCCCGAGTCTATGGCGTCCACTGGGCCCTGGGATGCTGAACACCACCAGCAGCAGGAGAGTTTGGAAAGTGAAGAATGTTTTAAAACCCACATAATTTCTTACTGGGTTGGGGGACGTTTAGAGTCGTTTATAGATCTTTACAGCTAACTATAACGACCTATCTTTATCTTTGCTGTTCATAGCCATCTAAAACAAAGCCTTCTTGCTAAATGCAACACTGCGCCATTAGAATGCCTGCCACAGGGGAGGCTGGCCATCTCCACACTCTTTTCCCTGCTATTCAAATCCTCAGGGCCCCTTCCAGGTCTCTGAATGACTTCTGGGTCAACAAGAGCCTAAGACACAAGGAGGCACTGGGAAAGCCTTTGAACTTGATACCCCCTCTCACAGTCTTCTGTGAGACTCTAACATCCCTAAGCCGGTTTCCTCATCTGTAGGGTGTACACAGGGTTAATATCTGCCCCACAGAACTGTCGGAATAATCCATGCCAAGTGGTTCAGTATGTCGGCCGGCCCATAAAAAAATATTAACAACCACCGCCCAGGGGCCACCTGTTCCAAGACAGGGGAAAAACTCCCTCCATGACTGAAAAACCAAACTGCAAAAGAAAGAATGACATTTGTTCAAGTTTTCCATACATTTTGTAAGTTTTAAAATGTAAAGGGGAGAGGTGCTTTCCCTTATGAAAACAGAGAATTTTTGTTAAACTTCATGGGCGGGCTGGCACTATGGTATAGTAGGCTAAGCCTCCACCTGTGGTGCCAGCATCCCCTACAGGCGCTGGTTGGAGTCCTGGCTGTTCCACTTCCAATCCGGCCCCCTGCTGATGCGCCTGGGAAAGCAGCAGAGGATGGCCCAAGCGTTTGGACCCCTGTACCCATATGGGAGGCCCAGAAGAAGCTCCTGGCTCATAAATAAAATCATTAAAAACAAACCAAAAAACAGGAATTAAAAGATAAGTTGGGGTGGGCATTTGGCTCAGCAGGCAAGCCGCTATTTGGGACCCAAATCCCCTACCGGAGGGGCCTGTGCTCGAGTCTTGGCTTTGCTCCTGATCCCAGCTTCCCACATTAGCACACCCTGGGAGGCAGCGGTGATGGTTCAAGTAATTGGGTTCTTGGCATCCACGTGGGTGACACGGGTGGAATTAATTCCCAGCTTCCTGCTTGGGTCACATCATTACAGGCACTCGGTGCGTGAACAAGCTAATAAGACCTCTGTGTTTCTGCATCTCAAATAAATACTTTTTAAAAAAGAAAGCTGTTTATTTTTGAGATGCACACATATAGGGAGTCTTCAAAAAGCTCACGGGAGGGGCTGGTGCTGTGGCACAGCAGGCTAAGCTGCCACTTGCAATGCTGGCATCCCAAACTGGAGTGCCTGTTTCCAGTCTTAGCTGCTCTGCTTCTGGTCCAGCTCCCTGCTAATGTGCCTGTGAAGGCAGCAGAAGACGGCCCAAGTCCTTGGGCCCCGGCACCCAGGTGGGAGACCTGGAAGAAGCTCCTGGCTCCAGCCTGGCTCAGCCGGGTTGTGGTCATTTGGGGAAGTGAACCAGGGGATGGAAGATTTCTCCCTGCTTCTCCCTCTCTTTGTTGGTCTGCCTTTCAAATAAATCAATCTTCTATATAAAAAGCTCATGGGAAATGTGTATCATGAAAAAACTATACAAGGATTTACTGCATTTTATTGAATGTCCATGCCAAATCAACTTCATCAACTAGTGAGGATCTCATAGATTCACAAAACAGGATACAAATAGGGTGCTGCTTGCTTTCAGAGCAGATGGGAGGGTTTCCGTGATCCTCTTGGGAATGCATCATAAGCAGCACTGGCTACACTGTGGTCCATTGGCTTCTGGTCATCCGCTGAGGCTCTAGCTGTTGCTTGGAAGGGTCCAGGCACAATCTGCGTGGCCTTCCTTAGGTCACCACCTGCCTGGACAAAGGCCCTCAGCCCACCATCCCCTCACTCAACAAGTACTGCCCACCAGCTGCCGAGCACCACGCATGTGTGGAACTAAAGACATCCGCGCCCGACTCCGCACAGCACGCACGGGATACTCTCCTCGCCTCGCTCCCCTCCCGGGACAGAAAAGCCAACCCCTGCAGGAGGGGGTCCCCGGGGGAACCGGCCTGGACGCCTCACCTCCCGCGGGGACCACGGCTCGCCCACGGCCGGCAATACCGGCTGTCCCGCGCGGCGGCATCCGCACGGCGCCCGCCAGCCCCGCGGCTCAGCCGCCGGCCTGCGTCTCCATGGTAACCGTACACAAACTACCGCCGGGCCCTCGGAGCTGCAGAGTCCGGCAGCCGCCGGGAGGACTGGGCGAGCCGGGGCGCAGGGAAGGGGGCGTCCGGCCGGACGCAAAGCACCTGTGAGGAGCGTTGGATACGGTCACCGCAGCCGAGGTTCAGCACATCTTCCCGCTTTCCCGAAGCAGCCGCAGCTACCAGCTGAGCTACAGCGCCGAAGAAGAGGGCGGGGCGAGGCGGGGCGGGGCGAGGTCGTCCCCGTGTCGCGGGTCGCCGCTGGGCCACTGGGCCTGCGCCGGCGCCGCCAACGCATGCGTAGAAGCATCGGGGCGTGGCGCCGGCCTTGTGGGAGGAGCTTGGCGAGGGCTGGAGGCGGGGATGCGGGCTCCGAGATGGGAGAGAGGGAAGAGGATAGTCGCTTGAGGCCCGCGCGGCGGGGCGGCGTCTGCTTTCAAGTTAGCAATTTGGGAACCGCCTCGGTGGAGCCGGTGCGACATCTCCGCGCCTCTGTTAAGTGTCGCTAGGCAGGGCGGCGGCTTAAGGATAGGAGAACCCGAGGGTACGAGTCGGGACTTACTGGTTCGGACTGCGACTCAGTGTTTCCTCCGATGTGAAGTGGAGGGAAATCTGGGGTTGAGGAGAAATGGAGCGAGGTGTAAGGAGCTCTGCGATCCGCGAGGCTCGGCCGGCTGGCTCCCGGGCAGCCCCCGCGCCTGCCCGCACTGCCGCGTTGCGGAGGGGCGCCCGCCGGCACACGCTGCAGCGGAGCTGGGAGCCCCTGGGCTAATAACAGGCGAGCCGGAGCCGAGGCCAGGCCTCTCTTGTTATGCTGCACCTGTCAAGGTAGAAGTCCCATCGTGTTCCCTGAGCACTTGACGGCGGGAGGTGCAAGGGAGACGTTAATCACGTTCCAGCCGCTTTGCAGAAACACGGAGATGTGTCGGCCCCAGTGCTGTCAACGCTGGAAAGATGCCACCTCCCTGGGTGCGAAGTCACTTGTAAAGAATAATTAAGCCACATATACTATGTGGGAGGAATTGTGTTAAGTGACAATGACGCGAATCTCTACTACAGGAATGCAAATATTCTCAGAGTACCCAAGAGGATTTTGAACACAATGAGCAAGAAACACTTTTATTATTGATTGGCTAATGTTAGGACCTGAAACAAAATCTTAGTGTTTCTCAGGGCTGACATCTTTTCCAGAGTCAGCTTGAATGCTCATATCCAGTCCCGCTGGACTCCACATATGAAACCATAACTGGTGCATTGAATTTGTGACTTGTGAGAGCTGATAAAATGCAACTTTATATTGGTCTCTCACGGCCATTTTAAAAATATGTTTAATGCTGGTTATCGTTTGCCTGTGGATGGAAAGTTTCTTTTTTAAAAAACATTTTATATATATATATATATTTTTTTTTTTTTTGACAGGCAGAGTGGACAGTGAGAGAGACAGAGAGAAAGGTCTTCCTTTGCTGTTGGTTCACCCTCCAATGGCCGCCGCGCTGTGGCCGGCGCACCGCACTGATCCGATGGCAGGAGCCAGGAGCCGGGTACTTATCCTGGTCTCTCATGGGGTGCAGGGCCCAAGCACCTGGGCCATCCTCCACTGCACTCCCTGGCCACAACAAAGAGCTGGCCTGGAAGAGGGGCAACCGGGACAGAATCCGGCGCCCCGACCGGGACTAGAACCCGGTGTGCCGGCGCCGCAAGGCGGAGGATTAGCCTAGTGAGCCGCGGCGCCGGCCATTTTTATATATATTTTTAAAAGAGACAGAGATCTTCCATCTGCTGGTTCACTTCCCAGATGGCTGGGCCAGGCCCAAGCCAGGAGCTTCATCTGGGTCTCCCACTGGGTGTCAGGCCCCCAACACTAGGACCATCTTCTGCTGGTTTCCCCAGGCCATTAGCAGGGAGCTGGATTGGAAGGGGAGCAGCCAGGACAAGAACCAGTGCCCACAGGGAATGCAGTAATGCAGGCGATAGCTTTACTCACTACGCCACCAGGCCTGCCCCTTCTGTTTATTCTTAGATAACCAACCGTCTCAAAATTCCAAAATTATAATGTTGGGTGCAAGATATGCACCAGATTTGCTTGAAAGTAAGTCCGCATCGCCTGACCCTACGCCAGGCTGGAGGCCCGTGGTTGGCCTTCCAAAAGGATGTGGTGGATTTCGTGTGGTCTCTAGAGGCTGTGTGAGGCCCAACCTTAGGTAGGCACAGAGCAGGCAGGGGAGAGCAAGGAGATGGCGCACTTCTTTCTTTGAGCTGAGCGGCCGGGAGCTTGCTGTGCTGGCCTAGGAGCCAAGTGATCCGTGTGGATCTTGCCTGGGTCTTTTGGAGACTCCCACTGAGGGGCGCCTCTCTCCCGGGAACTCCAGTGGATGCAGTGCGGTGCCATTGGTTGCTAGCGGCCACTTCTTTGCCTCTAAAAATCCAGGTCCACTCCAGTTGCCACTGCCCTTTTAGCTGGGTCCCAAAGGAAAACCCCACGGATCCCCTGCGCATGCACTCCTCTGTGCTGCCACAGGATGGCGCTGTAGCTTTCCCGGCAGTGAGCTGGGCTCCAAGCCTCAGGCCCCCTGCCCGCAGTCTGTGGCAGGCTCCCTTGGAAGCTGCCGCCCAGAAGGAGTAGCACTGCACCCTCATGCTTCAAAGACAGCTCACGCAGCTCCCCTCTCCACGCTCTGACCTTTTGTTTGCCGCCTCACTCTGGGTGAGGGGTCTGGACTTGTCGGGGGGAGGTTGCGTAGGACGGACTTCAGAAAATTGATGGAAGAATCCGCCTTGTCTTTTAATCCTATTTTCCTGGAACTTTCTGGAACTCCCTCGTCGTTCTTTGACTTGCCCTATGGAAACTCGGCTCCACCTCGGCT